TGAATTTTAATTTATTTAGTTGTTGTGTTATTTTGTTTTTATTTTAGTAAATCCGCTTCTGATTCCTAAAAGTATAACAACCTGTGATACAAGTCACCAGGCCCCCTTGCCGCGAGCTCACTATAAAATTATTTGGACAATATAGAAAAGAACTTAGTACCTAGAGTAACAACTTAGAAGAGCCTCTGCGTTTTTATTATATATATAAGAGTGTAATTGTGTTGTTGTGGAGGTATGTATGTATGTATGTGTGCATGCGTGTAATATCCGTATTTGTTATAATTGTTATGTTTAGGATTTAGCTGATAGGGGTGAGAAGCCTTTCAGTCTCTGTGTAATTGAGTGATTTTATTTAAATAAAAAAAAGAAGTTTGTGAATTTTAGAAGTTTTATTTTTTTTACAAAGATATAAGTTTTGACTATATATTTTAAGGTTGTAATTTAGTTTATTATAGAGAAATGGGCCAAGATAACAGTTAAAGTGTTGGGAATGTGAGGTACGGTAGGTGTTTGATGGACAGACATTATATTTTCGTCGTTTATTTTTTAGAAGATTTGGTTCGTATGGTAGCTCTGAATGTTTCTTCAATATGATTTGTAAGATAAATAACTGACGCACAGTGAGTACCCCACATTTTGTACAGTTCAGTTGTAGGAGAACGATAAGGAAGATTTGCGCCTACTTTAAACGCAAAGATGTATCCACATCTTTGCGTTCTTTCTAGTTCAATGAGGTGAGTGTTTGCACTCCCTCCCCAGGAAATAACACAGTATCCAATTACGGACTGAACTATTGCGTAATAGACCATTTTGATGATATTTATATCTGAGATGTGTCTTAGTTCTTTAAACATGTATATAAGTTTTCGAATTCAAATAACAAATATTTCCTCTTTATAATATAAGTGTATATAGCTGTTGCCCACGATATTCGCATCCCGTCGTTCGGGTCGTTCTTGCCAGTTAATCTTAAAAGATAGACATATATCATTTAAAGGGGAATGATTCTTTTTTACACAATTTTAGGGATCTCGAACCGTTTTCGCAGCGTACGCATCTGAAACCTAGAGAGATGAGAAATTTCCCCCGTTTTATTCACATTTCTCGCTGTATCTTCTTCGATAATTTTTTTTTTTTACTTGGAGGAATCGACTCTTTACCGACGCCCCCGCCTGGCCACCTAAGTGGCGGGGGGAGTGTGGGGGTCGGCCAGCTTGACCACTACCCACTAAACCTCCAAGAGCCCACGGGAGACTTGCCGGACGCGAGCGGGCGGTTAGTTGCCCTTGACCCGCATGCCCGCGCCCGTGTGTCCTGCCGCGCGTGTTTCCCGCGCGCAGCTCGCCCTTCGTGGCCGGTTGTTGGCCACGTCTCCTGGCTCGGTCCTAAGACCGAGGTCACAGCGGACGCCGGGCGTAATCGCGCCGGCGCCGCCCAAGTCTCCTCCGTCGGAGAGCGGGGGCGTCGGGAGCAATCTCCCTCGCCCTCTCCGCTTCCTCCTTTCGCGAGAGGACGTCGGCGCAGAAGGCCTTAAAGGCCCGCCACGGAGCGTCGTCCGCGCTCCTTACTATCCCTGCCACAATGGCGGGCAGGGATAGATCCGCGCCGAATGCTCCGGCCAGGGCAGTCCTCTGACTTTATTTTAAAGGTCTACAAAACTAAGCTTTAATATATAGATATGATATAAATGGTTTTATAAAAACAAAAAAATCTTAAAAATTTAGCTTATAAATATGTAGACACGACATGCAAATAAAGTTCAATCGTACAAAGTAAATAATAATTCAATCTAATATTAATGTAACCAAACAATAAAACGAATACTAAAAATTTTATATTATATTAGTACTCTAAAAGAAAACTTAGTAATTGTCTGAGGCCGGAAGTACTGTGATAAAACATATCCAGGTCTGAAGAGTGATTGTTAAATAGTTTGCTTTGCCCTATTTTCCTTTATTATTATTATTATTTTTGTCTTTATCGCGACTTATTTTCTATAAATAAATCCTGTTATATATGATATAACATTTTTATTAAATAAATAATTCGAATAATTTCCAAAAACTGTATAGTGTGCAGTCAGCCTCATTACCGCGTCTACTAAAAGTATTCCGGCATGATTTTTGTCTTTGATGTTATAATTTTTTTTGTTATGATTACTGTTACTGTTGCAGGTAGGCCTGAGTGGGAACATGGACATGACAAAAATAATTTCGAACTCCCAGTGCCTACCTCTGTCTGACGAATACGTCTACCTGGGTCAAGTTATATAATTAGGTAATTTCAACTTCGAGAAAGTGGTCAATTATCGAGTCCGACTAGGCTGGGCAGCGTTTGGGAAACTAGACAAAGTCTTTTCGTCCGGTATACCTCAGTGCCTTAAAACTAAAGTGTTCCAGCAGTGTGTTACCAGTGATGACGTACGGTACCGAAACATGGTCTTCTAACGCTATTTCTTATATATTTTCTATCGTTATTTTGGGTTTTTGCAAACCCGTCATCTTTATAAACTTAAGCTGTTAGCCACAACGTCAATCGCGTCCCTTCCCGTCGTTTTTGCAAGTTAATCTTAAAAGATAAACATATATAGTTGTGGACTTTTTTTTTAGATCAGTTAAAGGGCAATCAACGGTTCAAATTCTTTCATACACAATTTGAACCGTATTCGTAGCAAAAGATTGAATTTAGATCTTGAAAATTGAATAAAGACTTGATTGTTACGGAAACAGTTTACCAAAGTAACAAATAATATTTCTCATGCAAATCAAGAATTTAGCTTCATGAAGCTTGAGTTATAAATACAAACATTAATTTTATTTTTCAAACGCTTAATTTTGTGTAAGAATCTTTGATTTTTCCTCCACGTGGTTCTCCTTACAGTATCACTCGTCCTACTAATAAGCAATGCATTGTACAACTTCGTCCATCAAATTAAAGAGTCTGAATAAAACAGCCATAAATTATAAAATATTTATCCGAAAAACTCAACTAATACCGACATTATATTATATGTGGAATTTACAAACGACGATACATTTGGCAACAAGAGCCCTATTTAAAACCATATTTTAGCAATGGACTTAAATGGTAATTAAATAGAAGTTATTTTCAAGGAATATAATACGGCCAATATCTTTTATATATTATATATTTCAACCTCAAAATTAAAACTCCTGAAGTAAAACATTTAGCAATTATTTTTAATTGCGCAATTGCTTTGCTTTTGCTTACAGTTGATAAAATACTGATGACATTGGTTACTATAATAAATAATTACAATTAGAACACGCAACATGTAGGTTAAGGGGAATGAAAGGTGAAATCAACAAAAAAATGCGCAGTTAGTTTTCAATGTTTTATCATTTATTCAGTGGTTTTGAACAAATTAATTAGATGTGATATCCTCTGTCTATTCTAAGAGAATATCCGAAATAAGTAACTAGGTTTATACTTAGCTGCAAAATTGTAAAATATAAAATCGAAGGAGTTATGTACAATCTTTAAAGTTTGATTAGATCGGTGCTCTCGTAAAATGCGCAAGACAAACAGGTCGTGTAAAAAAATCATTTATGTTTTCATTGTCGGCTTCCATCTCACGTCGGTTGTGTAACAAGTGACATAATTATCTTCTACATCATAAACAATTAGCAGCAAAATGAAGGATAGCATTATCCCATCAGTTTAAGTACTTGAAGTTATGGTAAATACACCCTTGGCGACTGCTTAGGTGTTAAAAGTGAGTCCGGACATAATAACGAGACGAGAAATTACGAGTTCTTACTTACAGCGGTTGGTACGCAATCTTTTTTTATTTGTGAACATGAACGCAGTTATTACAGTCAAAGAGCAAGTTTAACACAAACCTAAGTAGTTTGGAGCAATATATAACGATTAATTCAACTTATCCATTGAAGCAAAAAATTTCATATTCAAAGACTAGAAACCTAAAATTTTTGCAAAATGACCAACTACTTACAATTAATACAATTTATGCTTCGATACTAAATTATGACATAAAGATATTCAGAGAGATAAACTTATTGCACTCAGACAAACGGTGAGATTGTTGACATAAGATACATTTTATACCTTTACAGCAATTATTAATTTTAAACGTTTGTTTAAATTTTTAATTTAAGTTTCTAAGAATTCGGCGCCATTGCGTAGAAAAAGTCGTTAATTGAGATAAAGTAGGTATTTCACCTACTTTTATGCTCTTCCCATAAACTATAGGTGACCTGGTCAGGTCTAGATAATTACATAAACTAACAATACGTCCCAATGCTGGACCGGCGACCCTAAGACCCGTAGAGCGTGTACGTTCTGAGACGCACAAGCTCTAGAATATCCCTTAAAGATGTGTCAGATTCCTTTGTTAAGGTCTGTATGGTGATTATTTACTAACCAGCCGTTTGTAATTGAACCTGTTACATAATACATTCCATGCTTGGCTATAGTTAGCCCTTAAATAATGAGATGTATTTATTTCGCTTAAATTAGCATTGTTGTACCTGCGGTCGGTGTTGCGGTCACTAATGTATTAGGGAAATTGCAATAAAGTTCCATTACTTGATGATGGTTACCATGAATACACCTAAAATAGCACAAGTAACGAGACCAAGGCAAGGTTTCGAGTTCGAACTGTAGGCAGCCCGTAGTCCGAGGATCTTGCCGAGCAGAGCAACAAGCAGTCTTTCAGGTATCCAGCTAGGTAAACGGATAAATATTTTATAATTTAAATATATGTATGTATATATGGGTTTTTCTTATAATAGTCTTTCATAATATCTATACTAATGTATAGAGCTGAAGAGTTTGTTTGATTGAAAATAGTATTTTTAAGGTTGTAGTCTTTTTAAAAGGCTCGGAAATTCTTAATATAAAACCTAATATATTAAAAGCTGGGCAATAATGAGACCACATTTTAAAACAAAAATAATATACTTAACATGAAACACTGTACACGGAATATTTACATTGTCTACGCGACTACTATTTTATCACGCGACTCGGTCCGGGTCTTGGTTCTGCTGCGCCCAGAGGCGCGCGTAGAGCGAGGCGGGGTCGCCGAGCAGCTGGCGATGCGTGCCTCTGGCGGCCACGGAACCCCCTTCCAGCACTACGATCTCGTCAGCATCGGCCACCGTGCTGAGACGGTGCGCGATGCACACCGAGGTACGCCCGGTCGTGGCGGCGCGCAGCGCTTGCAGAATGGCGTGCTCGGTGAGCGAGTCGAGGCTCGAGGTGGCCTCGTCGAACACGATGATTGGGGAGTCCTTGAGGATGGCTCTAGCGATCGCCACGCGCTGCTTCTCACCGCCCGACAGCTTCAGGCCGCGCTCACCCACTTGCGTGTCGTAGCCTTTGGGCCAGCGCTCGACCGCCTCGTGCAACTCGGCCAGCCGACTCGCGCGCAGGACCGCCTCGTGCGGGGCGCTCAGATCTCCGTACTGCAGGTTGTGAAAAATCGTATCGTGAAAGAGCACGCAGTCCTGCGGCACGACGGCGACAGCGCGCCGCAGCGACGCCAACTGTACGTCGCGAACGTCGTGTCCTCCAACCAGGATGCGCCCGCCCTGCGGTTCGAAGAAGCGGAACAGCAGCCGCACGATCGTCGATTTGCCGCTACCCGATCCTCCGACGATGCCGATCTTTTTACCGGACGGCACCACCAGCGACAGATCGTTGAGGACCGGCTTCCCGTGCACGTACTTGAAGCTCACGTTGCGAAACTCGATTGCCGGAGCTTCGGGGTTGAGCGCCAGCGGCGTCGCCCTTTCCGCCTCGCGCACTCGCGGTCGCACCGTCATGAGCGTAAACATAGTTTGCATGTCGACGAGCGCCTGCCGCACCTCGCGGTACACGGAGCCTAGGAAGCCGAGCGGGATCGACAACTGGAAGACGAGCCCGTTGACCATGACCAAATCGCCCACTGTCATGTTGCCACGGGCGATCTCGGTCGCGGCGCACAGCATGATGACGCTCAGACCGGCGCTGAAGATGGCGTGCTGTCCGAAGTTGAGCAGCGCAAGACTCGAGGCGGTCTTGAGCGAAGCGCTCTCATACTTCTGCAGACTCGTGTCGTACTTGCGCAACTCGTAGCCCTCGTTGCCGAAGTACTTGACGGTCTCGTAGTTGATGAGTGAGTCGATCGCTTTGTTGCTCGCCTCGTTCTCGGCGCGGTTCATGTGCACGCGGAAGCGCGTCCGCCACTGCGTCACCGCGAACGTGAACGCCGCGTAGACGCCGACGCAGCTAAGCGCGACGCCCGCGAAGGTGAGCCCTCCCTTCAGCCCGAGGATCGACGAGACGAGCGCCAACTCGAACGCCGTAGGCACGATGTTGAAAACCATCGCAGACAGCACGAAGTTGATCGCCCGCGAGCCCCGGTCGATGGTCTTCGATAAGGCGCCCGTCTGCCGCGACAGGTGGAAGCCAAGGTCGAGGCTGTGCAGGTGCGAGAACACGTTGCACGCGAGTCGTCGGATCGAGTGTTGCGCGACACGCGCAAACACCGCGTTGCGAAGCTCATTGAAGCCTGCCGCCGTCGCTCGCGCTAGGCCATCTGCGGATGACGTCATTGTGACAATCTCACTCCACTCTGTGAATGATATGTGATTAACCATACCAAGATATAGAAGTTTAATTAAAAAAATTATAGCACACATGGGACTTGAACCCATGGCCGAGAGCATGATGTTCAGTTTCCCTACCATTTCAGTACTTCAAGTCTTCAATATTCAAATCTCTCAATCTTCCATATGTGAAGCTGCCGCGCAATGATACTCACATCCAATAAGCAAACTGAATGCAGTTGTCCCGATGGCTTGTGGCACTGTCTCCAGACCGAGCAATGCCTCACTGCCGCCTAACTTATTCACCTCATCCACTGCATATTTAAACAAGAATGGCACGGAGACATTGACTAATTTCGCACCAAAGAGCAGGGTCAGAGATAATATTACTCGCTTACGAATCATTTCATTATCCTAAAAAGAGAATTTTAAGTTTAGTCTAAACTACTGAAAGCCATTATATATATAGGTTTTCTTGAACCTAAAAAAAACAAGTAGTAGAACTCTTCATTGGAAAGAAATATTCTTAAGACTTAAAAAGTTTAAAACATACTTTGTTTGGTTGAACAGTCTAGTGTAATTATATCTATACAAGTCAAGTGAATGATAGTAGAAATCACCTTTGGCCAAACATACTCCATCATCCCCCGCACCATGTCCATCCCGGAGACAGGCTTGGCATCTCCCAAGTTGATATCTTCACGAGCCAAAACAGATGCACCTGGATGAAAGCAGTCTCTCTTTTGGATACCTAGGATTAGGGAAGATAAAATGAGGACTAAGAAAAGGAGTGGATGTAGCGATGCTTAAGGAAAAGGCTAACATAAGATGGAAGAGTGCAGGAAGGGAGAACTGCTTTACCAGGCTTAACTGACACAGGGGTTTATATACAGTCATGCTAAATAATGTAGTATAAGCAAAATAGATTATAATGTTACTATACATTTGAATAATACTAGTTAGGATACTTTTAGAAAAAACAAACCACTTTAGATTTATAGAAGAATATAGGCAGAATATTGAAATGGTTATGAAACGAGATTAGCACAAATTAGTACAGACTTACCGACTGGTATTTTTCCAGACTTGGGTTTATTCGCCAAAACAGCTGCCAACACATTTTTGGCGCTATCTCGTCCATTGATCGGAGGAGTGTTACTTGGAGGCGAAGACGAATAATACTAAAACGTTAAATTTTGTGACTAATTATATATAACCCCTAATTACAAATGGTATATTAAAACATACCCTGAAACCACTCGTCGCACACTGTATGCAACAACGACTTAAATGAAGTTCACTTAACTCTAACGGTTTAATATGAAAATCTTTTCTTATTTTTAAATTAAATCGCAAAATTTTATCTAATCTGCCATTTGACAGCAACACAGCCGCCATTATTGGATTTTGACAGCAAAACAACAGATAAATAAGACACAAGAAGGCAGACCAATTGCTACATAATGTTACCCAAAACAAAATTCAATCTCCCTAAAAATAGAATAAAAACAGCTTTTAAAGAATAAAAATATATACAGTGGAACGTCGATTATCCGAACAAAAGTAACGCGCGGGGTTAACGGTCTCCCGCCCGACCCAAATGATAGATATGCTAAAAAACTTTGATTGCCACGAATGTGACGAAGAAGAGGTTCAAAAACGGCTGGATATCGACGACGAAGATCCTGGGTACCAAATTATGCAAGATAGCGAAATTTTAGACCTCATGACTAATAAGGTCGACCCCACCGCTAGCACCACATCAACTATAAGTTCAGATAATGAAGATGAAAACGTAGTGAGTGCATCTGATACATTTACTGGCGTAGATATTATTGCCTTGCGTTGGTTTCAAACACAGACTGAAAGCGACCAGTATCAAATATCTGTTCTTAAAAAAGTAATCTAACCGCTCGTAAGCGGGTAGGCATGCTTCGGCAGACGAAAATTCAAGATTTTTCAAGCGTGAATGTACCTAGTACACACGTTTTACTATAAGATTACATATCTGTACTTTTTTGTTTATATCATATTTTTCATTAAAAGTATATAAAAATGTAAACATGGTTTTCATTTACCTGTACGTAAATATGTATGTCTGAATCAATATACATATAGGTAGTTTTATTATTATTACAATTATCCGAAAATATAAAAAATCTGAACACCCATGTCGCCTAATTAATTCGGATAATCGACGCTCTACTGTATTTAAAAACATTTTACATATTATTATAACATTGACGATAAGAATAAAGAAAGATGATTTTTATTTCTATTTTTTTAGTTTTCGAGTCAAAGAACTAAAAATTTAAAGCATTCGATTTACTTTTTTCTTTCACAAATTAATTTGTATTTTGCACCTACATTTTTAAACGAGCAACAAATAAATTTAAAGTCTTGGTTTTCACAACAAAAGAAAGCCACTTCCTTGTAAGTAAAAAGGTATTTAATTAATGTACATAAGCATAGTGAACCTAAAAATATTCATCCTTAATTGCACACTTAAAGAATTCAACAAAATAGTTTTGTAATTAAAATCAATTAGTTTTTGTGTGGGCTGTCAGACAATTTTACCTCAGGCGGTAAGCATAGGTAGGCTTTGCTTTCCCAAATGCAGGGGAAAACTTTGGAAGTTGGCATCACTGCAGGTTACAGTGCTCGCCTTTTACTATAGATGCAGTAGATCACAGGTTGAATAATAGTCCACAGAGTGAAGATAATATCTAACAACATGGATATAATAGTCTTCGACAAAAAAAAACTTTTCCTTATTCATTGAATAGAGCTAGTTGCAAGTCTGTATACAGTATACACACAGTGCAAGAATGGAGAACATTAATAGATAAAAAGAATCGGTTTAAAGTTTGTTATGATGAAACTTGTATATATAGGTATTTTGACATGGACCAAACACTAGATTTTCAGCAGAGCTTACCACAATATAGTACTGAAAAACACATCTAGATCCGAAGAGCCGTTTCTAAGATTAGCCGACACAAACGCATAGAATAATCAGACAAACATAACAATTCTAAAAATAATCACACAGCGATCGGTATTCATTTGTTATAGATATGTATACCTAGTGGATGTAACAGATGTACTAAATCTTTTTTTTAATCCTTATTAATAAATAATAAAATACATAGGTTAGTTGACTTTTTTCATTTAATTGCTTATTACTTTCTCAAAAAAGACATTAAGTTTTGTATTGCATATGTTTCTAAAAAGTTCTTCTGAGAATAATTATTTACTCTCGTCTCATAACGATTGAATGATATTGTCATCAGAATATGTAGCGTGTTCCTTGACTGAAATGAAGATGGCCAAACTACTCAAAAGCGCAAGAAACTTTGCAAAATAAAAAAAAAACTGAATTCTTATTTTAAATCTGGCTGTCTAAATTATTCTTGAACTTAAACAATAACGCAAAGCAGTTTCATTGTTCTCAAAATATTATGATAATGTCTATAAGTATAAACGTCCAAATATTGTCTAAGTAGGTAATCATGATTTTTAAGTACTTACGCTGAAATACACACAGCAATGAACTGTCACATTTTGTCGTTACTTGTTATTGCTAGAACTTGGAGGGACATTTTTACGTATGTACACCTGGAAGCACTTGCATCGAGTTAACTTCTCTTAATCTGTAATTTATTGATGTATAGAAAGAAGGACTTGTGTGTTTATTTTTAGGGAGAACACAGAGATCTAACACTGAAAATAGTAAACATTCTTAATTTTTATGCTACTGCGTATTCTACCAGCACTATAATTGTCTGTACTGTATGGACAACACGAGTTTTTTTATCATGTTTTTCAAATAGTAATAGATACGTTGTCAATATAGCTACAATTTTAACTACCCTAATACCAATCAATTTGTTTTTGTTGTATATCTACTTCTTAAAAACAATTTCTATATTTTGCAATAGATTTATTTTATCAGAGGCTTAATGGATGTTAAGCCAAAAGCAATCTCAACAAAAGAAAATGAATTATGTTAAGTTATTAATGTTTCTTTCTAAAATTCTAATATATTGGCTTACAAGTTCTATGCAATTATTTAAAGTAACAGATTTTTCAAAATTTTTCATAGTCTTAAGAATAATTTCAGTATCTATAAATTTTTTGTACAAAATTGGTCGAATAAAATCGATCAACACTCTATCATAAGTACACATTGCAGCCGAGTACAACAACTTGCTCATATTTACATCTTTAGCGTAAAAGTATTTAACAACAATTAGTAAGCCATAGAGGTGAAAACTCAGGCCCCTTATATCTATGTACAAGTCCTTATCAAGCCCATGTTTCATTATAAAGCTACATTGCTCTTGAGATAAATTAACTTTTTGTGAATGAAGAAATGACATAAATTTCTCAAACTGTAATGGAATATAATCTAAGCTATTTGATGGCAGACAAAAGCCATATTCTGTGATCAGTTTTAAATTATGGCTGTCTCCATAGCAAATAAACACCTGAGAGTAGGCTTCAAACCTTGTTTTTGTACATATAGAAAAACGTACCTTTGAAAATGCATCCTCACATAAGGCAAAAAGGGAAACATTTTTTACTTTGTTTTCCACAATGAGCTTAGTTTCATTCTGAGCTTTAGCACTGTGATTAATCATATCTAAAAATGGACACAGGGATATCTTTGAACTATCATTTATTAAGTATAATATTGTACTTTCTGTCTGGTTTATGTTGATCAACTTTGTCAAATCAATAAAAACACATCTTGTATTAACTGTAAAATAAGCCCATTCAAAGTTTGTTTTATTATAGTATATTTTTAAATCCTTCACACTTTGAAAATGACTTTTACTATAATTTAAGATCTCATGAAAAATACAAAAGGCTGTATCTATAATATCTATTTGCTTTTCTACCACAATTAATATACTGGGTTCCAAACAGTGCTTGATTTCATTTGGCAAAAAATAAGGTACAGTGTAGTCTTTGGGCAAGCTCTTTAGGTATAAGTGCCACTTAGATCTTTCGCCCTGCACTTTTAAAAATAACAAATAGAAAGCTAACAAACTTTGAAACGACACAGAGTGTTTGTATTCTAGCAAACTGCCTTCGAAGATGGAGCAAAACTCTTCGTCCATGAGCAAGGTCGTGACGTTGATAGTGAGATTGAGAGGCAAATTTATCAGTTCCTCTCCAGTTCTAATTCTTGTCTTGGTGAGCACTCCACGCCCGTAATCCGAAAACGATGCTAACACTAACTTTTTACTTCGCTCAATTCCCATTTCGGCAAGCCACTTATTGAACAAAATTAAATCTCTAGAATCACTGCATGTTTGAAAATTATAGGACTTTTTAATCTTCCTACGGCGCTGCGTTCTCCCCATTATTCTGAGAAAACTATAGAAACGATCTGAATTCAACTACCGCGTAGCGTATCATCTAAATCATAATGTTATTAATATATTATATTTTCTTCTCTGTGTACCTATATAGTACACTAGATGTATAAGGATAAAGGATGTAATAGGTTATTAATGACACAGATGCTATAAACTATACTAAAATGTATACGGTACTAATGTATTAAAAAACAAACATATTCCCGGTTCCTTTATTCATTCATCTGTGGAAAACAGCCAAACATGACGTTAGGAGTTTTTTTTTTTAACCACAGGTTATAGCCGGTATACGGCCGACGTAACTTGGGAAGTCAGATCTTAGCCCATAACGTTCCTTATAATGTTAACGGTGGCCAGGTATTGCCAGGTACGCAGGGCAGAGATCTAGGCTAGAGATTGACCCAATGTCAATACAATCGACCGTTGATTCTATCCAATTTCGTAATCGATTTGGATTATGTATTTTTAATCGTATGAGATATTGTAGTAAATGGATTTTTGAGCACAGTGAAAAGTGTTAGTAATAAACGGTACCAGGCTTACTTTAAAAAAAAATATAATCATTAAAAACTTGTTTTTCTTTATTGAACGACGTAATTTAGTTAAATATGAGTTATTATTTATATAATTACTATTTTTATATATTTTACCTTCTTTTAAGCTTTTTATACAAATATATTTCTACGATCCAATTTTGTCTATTTAAATAGGAATCGATTAAACGACAATCTCAAGGAACGAGTATGGACATCTCTATTTGGTTATTTCGTAAAGCTTCGTACACATTCGGTAAACAGTAGTGTGTCGCGGTCACTCCTTTGCATTAATTTCGTTATCTCTGTCTTGAACGCAGTCCGTTAGAAAAGTGATTGCTTATTGTTAAATTAATTACTATTACTTCTCTTTTGTTATATGTCAGTATTTTAATTTAGTAGTTCGTTGCCCTTATTCTTTTTGAATCAATTATAGGTATGGTACTTTAGCTTGCTTTATGTAAAATCTTTAAACTATCCCAGTAACGAAAATAAATAGCAGTATTAGTTTTCTTTACGAGTGTACATGCGCCAAAGTATGTCTAACCTATGTTCAGACTAGCCAAGTTACGTTGGCCGTATTATACTCATTACAACATGTCTATGTGTGATAAGTTTCACGTTTCTAGCATATGAAGTAATGCATTAATCCGACAAAATAAATTATAAATAAAGATGAGACAATATAATTTATACCTACATTGTCTATAATATTATGTTTTTGTAGGGTAATAATGATTTCATTTGGAAATGACAGTGTTAACGAAATAATCAATTCATTCTAAAAGTTCCAGGACTAATTAGAAATTGTTATTCGGTAGATACCATGACCGTCTTGAGAACTTAAAAATTTTAATTTCTGCTAAAAAGAAAGGGTTCCGATTTGTGCAAGAAACCATCACCTTAACCACCAACTCTTAAAAAACTCAGAATAATGCTTATAAACTACACGTGACAGCCCATGAAATCCCAAAAGTATAATGAAAGAATGGTTCAACAGGCCTACAAAAACTATGTGTATCCCACTATTACATTGAATCTCAATAATTATAACCTTTTTATGGTACGGTGGCTTTAATTACTAGTATGTATAAAAGTACAAAATATGACAATTTACATTAAATGAAAATTTTAACACTTCACTATGCTATTTTTTTCACAAGCACATCATTACAATTTTTCAAATAATAAGTTATAATATTCCGATTTGATAAAAAGTTAGTTCTTCACTGTACTATTATTTGTTAATAATTGCAAATGTCAACTATTTTAATGTTACTCCAATAAGTTTATATTGAAAGAAGAAATGTCAACATGTATATAAATGTAAATAAAAATACAACATCATTTCTAGCACACTGCCGGCCTACAGACTTGTTTGTAAATGCGATTTTCTTTTATTTTTCCAGATACTGCTAAGAATATTCTTTGTTTTTCTTTTCCTTATAAAATTATTATAGTTAATAATGTTATTGCATTTATAAAAGCAGTAAACCTATTGATGCAAAATACATTTAAGTGAAATACTCTGGGTGTTGTTTGATTTCCAAAGCGATTCCTTTTTCCACTAAGGGTGCAGTGAAACGGTCAAAGACCAGCCCACTACCAACATAAACAGGCTTGGAGAGACGAGTAGCAAGCCGACATGCCAGTGATGTCACGTTATGCTCTTTTCCAAAGAGTGTGGTCCCTAGGGCATCTTCTGATCGCTGTGCGGGCATCCCCAAAGCCATCTCAGACAGCTTTGCTTGTTCTCCTCCAACCCACACAAGCAGAGACCCACCCATACAAATTGTTGCTACTTTGCATATCTTTTCACCACTCCACACTTCAAAGTCGTGAACTTTCCAACCGCTCTTTCTATACTCGACGCGGCGCTTCGATGTTACCTTCACAGGTGATTGGCTCTCGGTCATGGTTTTACTGCGAAAAAAAGTTTTTTTTGCCTGCGACAATTATTATACTCTCAGAACATACTGCACCGGAGATTACGATACAAAATTAATATCCAAAACTATATAACCTGTAAAAAATAAGATCTTTTTATTATTCTTTCCTAACATAACAATTAACAAAGTAAAGCAAAGTCAAAACTCAAATAATATAGATTTATGTTCACTTCAGAAATGACAATTGGCAAAATGACCGTAGTTCATAGAGTACAGTTGGAAGGCACAGACTCTTAAATATCAAATATGTTCAACAGTAACAAGTCTCAATTCTGAAAATAGGACTTGGCTTAAAAGTCTCGTTACCAGGCCATTAAATATTATAAAAAAAAGTCTCAATTCTCAACCAATCACATTTAGACATTTGTAAATAACTTCAAACCATTTGTTAAAATTTGGGGCGTGTTTAAAAGCTATTGGTGGTATTAACCACTGCTTTGAATACGAACCAACCATAGCACAGAGTTGCAGTAAAGAATGGTTGTTACCGGTACAAGCACTGATATTCATAACATTTCAAAATAATTTTTTGATCATTTTCTGCTGGCTATTCGTCGAGTGTCTCATCCGAGTGACGTGTCGACGGACGATTTTTTTCATGGTGATACAGTCACCCTCTTTTTATTAGTGGGAGATCCAACAAATTTTTAATTAGTGGAATATATAATGAAATATTTAGTTTTTCTCGCAGTCGGCGTCCTTTTCCTTTCAGGTAAGTCAATTCGGGAATTCAAACTTCTTTTCTTTTTTCTGTTACTTTCTAAGAGATGCTTTCATTACTTCAAAATGTTAAAACATGTGGCTTTTAACGTGCCTTTTAATTTGAGGAAATTTACTTGAAAATTTGTGTTAATCGTGCAGGATGGACAGTCGCGCAAGAAGGAGTAGGAGTTGGAAGTGTGGAAGAAGTAACAGCGGATGCTGACCTCGGTGCCTCGAGGGAGGCTTCGCGAACCGGTAAGTACTAAGTGGCATCCCACATCAATGACTATGGGGATGTGAGAGGTTTTTTATTTTATTGTTTCATGTTTAGACTCCAGTTTTACATTTGTTTGTTGAAAAAAAAATCTGCCAAAAATGTTAAATTTTTATTAGTAGAAATAATAAAAACTGTTATCTTTTATATCAGGATTAAAAGAGTTATGTGTAATTAAAATGTAGTAAGAGAATAATTTTTAAAAAGATAATCTTTTTCAAGGCTACACAATTATGTCAAAAGATAATAATTTGTAGTTTTTAACTAAAACATTTTATTGTTATTAAACTTATTTGAAAATTATTTTTAACATTTTATTTAAATGTGTACTACTCACATAAACTATAAACATATGTAGTTTTGTTTACGTATTTACAGCTTGAATAGTTGTATAGTGCTTTGCAAGGTCTATTTTTTTGTGTGTCTATATATCAATTTGTTTTTATCTCTGTGAAATTGCATCCGAAGTAAGTACTCTCAAGCTAGTTTTAAGCCAGGGTGAATCCTTAATGTGGTGGTGCAACCACTGAGACTCCTTCCATCTCCCACCTTCACTACTCCACCATCCATACCTATAAATTCATTGGTGTCGTTTAAAATACAAGAAAGTTATTGTTATTTCATTTTTAATTCTTCTTATTTTTATCTCATTAACTTATAGAACTAGTGTATTGTTGCTGAACTGCTTGCAACTCATAATAGAACAGTAGACAAATGCTTAGTCTAAATCTATCGAATGGTATACTCACTCTTGTGACGACAACTGAGGTGCCAAGTGCTTGTCTCTTGGCCCCAACCGAAACGCGATGGCCACTCGCCTTAATGCATCACTCTCGACCCTCTTGTCTAAGCTGTCGTTAGCCTCTCGCCCTCCGCACTTGTCGGTTACTAAGGCCGCTACAAGTTATGAATTAATTAATTAGTAGCTCGATGCCTGTTGCTATTGGAAGGTGGATCCTTACGTAGTCCGAGAGGTTTGACTGCTGAAACTCGCGATCTCCCTAACTCCCTATGGGCTGCGAAGCGCAGCTTGAATGAGCGCAAGTTTTGAAGCCCATCGGGCAGTTCCGGTTCTTCTATGCGGCCTTCCAGAGACATGCTTCTTTGTATCGTGCGCTGGGTCAAAGCATATGATACACGTTATCTCCTTGGCAACAATAACCATGTACTACTTTGTGCGCAGATGCGGAGACGGTTCTGCGCGAAGAAGAAGCCATATCCCCGGACGGTTTGAGCGTTGCTCAGCAACGAGAGCTAAAAGAGAAGGCGCAGAACTTTACCTTCCAGACCGAAGTTAATCGGATGATGAAGCTCATAATTAACTCTCTGTATAGGAACAAGGAGGTGTGTTCATGCTTAAATGCTAGATGAAATTTTTTCTGATTCGCTTAGGATTAATCATGCGCGTTCATCTGCAGATCTTTCTTCGCGAGCTGATTTCGAACGGTTCGGACGCGTTAGACAAGATACGGTTGATGTCTCTGACCGACCGAGGGGTCCTCGACGCGACGGAGGACCTCAGCATCCGTATTAAAGCCGACGCCGAAAAACGCCTTCTCCACATCATCGATACCGGCATCGGCATGACGAAGAATGATCTCGTCAATAACCTCGGTACTATCGCCAAATCGGGGACCGCCGACTTCCTTTCCAAAATGCAAGACAACGAGAAGGTTACTTAATTTCTTAACTTCTTTAATAATTACTCTTCAATGTTTTCTGTTTGCATGTCGTCCGTGACTAATGAAAAAAATATATATTTCAGCAAAGCAACAGCCAGGAGATGAACGATATGATCGGCCAGTTCGGAGTGGGATTCTACTCGGCTTTCCTTGTCGCGGATCGCGTCACTGTTGTGTCGAAACACAACGACGATAAGCAGCACGTGTGGGACTCGGATGCTAGCTCTTTCAGCGTCGCCGACGACCCTCGCGGTGACACGCTTAAGCGCGGAACGCATATCACGTAAGTCAGTCACAACTCACAAACACACTGACATCACAACAGCTGTTGACTATATGATAATCCCATTTTCCCTTGTTGGGTATGAGATCATATCTCCATTTCACGTTGCAATTCAAATCCAGGTCCTCATGTACTCACCACAAAGCTTGGCAATAAATTATTTACATTAAAAAATTACTACTATGTATTATGAAAACTTATTTGGATCTCTATTTTGCATTATTAACTTATCCCGATAAACTCTTTTCTTGCAGGCTGCATCTAAAGGAAGAGGCCGCCGACTACCTGCAGCCGGACACGATCCGTTCGCTTGTTAAAAAGTACTCGCAATTCATTAATTTCCCGATCTATTTGTGGGCCTCGCACACGGAGACCGTAGAAGAGCCCGAGGAAGCTGAACCGGCCTCCGAGGACGAGGACGCACAGGTCGAGGATGCCGAGGATAAGCGGGAATCTAAGAAGACAGAGAAGACCGTTTGGGACTGGGAGCTCATGAACGACAACAAGCCTATCTGGACGCGTAAGCCTGCCGACGTTCGCGATGAAGAATATACGCAGTTTTACAAAACTCTCACCAAGGACACGGCAGCACCTCTCGCGCGCGCTCACTTTGTAGCCGAGGGTGAGGTCACTTTCCGCGCGTTGCTGTTTGTGCCTCGCGTGCAGCCCGCTGACAGCTTCAATCGGTACGGCACTAAAACTGACCACATAAAGCTTTACGTGCGCCGCGTCTTCATCACAGACGAGTTCAATGAGCTTATGCCCAATTACCTTGCGTTCGTCCAGGGTATTGTGGACTCTGACGACTTACCCCTGAACGTGTCACGAGAGACGCTGCAGCAGCACAAACTCGTTAAGATCATAAAGAAGAAACTCGTGCGCAAAGTTCTCGACATGCTAAAGAAGATCTCAGATGACGAGTACGAACACTTCTGGAAGGAGTATTCGACCAATATAAAGCTAGGAGTGATCGAGGACCCATCGAACCGCTCGCGTCTCGCCAAACTACTACGCTTCCACTCTTCACGCGGGGAGGATATGACCTTCCTGGCGGACTACGTAGCGCGCATGAAGCCCGGCCAGAAGCAAATATACTATATTGCAGGGTCGAGTCGCGCCGAGGTAGAACGCTCGCCCTTCGCCGAGAGGCTAGTGCGACGCGGCTACGAAGTGCTCTTCCTCACAGAGGCGGTCGACGAATACTGTCTCTCGTCGCTGCCCGAATTTGATGGCCACAAGTTCCAGAACATCGCCAAGGAGATGTTCGACCTCGAGGAGGGCGATCGCGAGAAGGAACAATTGGAGGCGCAGCGCACCCAGTTCGAGCCGCTCACGAAGTGGCTCGGCGAGCGACTCGGTTCGTATATCACGCGCGCTGCTGTTTCACGCAGACTCGCCCGCTCGCCCGTCGCTCTCGTCGCAACTGCCTTCGGCTGGACCGGCAACATGGAGCGCCTCGCCATGTCTAACGCACACCAGAAGGCGGACGATGCGCAGCGCCGCCATCACCTCTCGCAGAAGAAAATGCTCGAGATCAACCCGAGGCACCCGGTTGTTCTAGAGCTGTTGCGTCGCGTGACTGACGACCCCGACGACCCGTTGGCCCTTGATACAGCGCGGACACTACTTCGAACCGCCGCCTTGCGCTCCGGATACATGCTGCAGGAGGGCCAGGCGATCGAGTTCGCTGACTCGGTGGATGCTATGCTGCAGCGCGCCTTGGGGCTGCCGCCGGACGCGCAGCCCGAACTCGAGTCGGAGTCGGATCCCGACGGAGCGGACTCGCAAGAGCCGTCAGACGAAGTCGACGCCGAGGCCGACGAGCACGACGAACTTTAGACCAGTGAACTGCTTTGTCATTAGTTTAAATACAGCCTGTACAATGGACTGCGAAGACTGCTTTATTTTGTATTTTTGTGTGTATGAGTTTCAGGAGAAACCTATATTTGTAAATAAGTTTAAATATTATTAATGTGCAAAGCTGAGATAGATCAACATCATGCCATAATGTGTTGTTTTAGGGTTTGAGGCATTTCACATTCCATCGATTAAACCTAATCTATTGTCTTCTATTGCGATCTAATTAAGAACACAATAGAAGATGGCTTGACTTTTTTTTACCATTTAATAAAACAGGATTAAATAGTTTCCAACTGTTTTTTTTATCCCATGTTTGTTTTAACACAAGTTTATGTGTACTGTCTTTTTACACAAGTAGTACACATTTAAATAAAACGCATCACATGTATTGAGACATCCTCCTCTTTAGTCTCCCCGTGGCCGTAGTTAAAAATAATTTTCGAATAAGTTTGAGTAATATATATCTCGTTTTAAACCGTTGTAAAAGTTTGTGTGCATTGTTCAAACACATTTTTCTTAGTAAAACAGACTATCACTGACTGACTAAGTTTGACTGTTATTTTTTGATGAAGTTTAGTAAAAGGCACTTTTCAGTAACAAAATATGGTCTAATTTATTAAGATTATTTAATACTACGCGTTTGTACGTTCATGAAAATATTTCATGGTAACAAAATTGAAAGGCTGAAATTTGTATTAATATTGAGTAATCATATATTCCTTTTTCCTTCAGCTGCCCTTACTCTTGTTTCCAAATCTATCCTACATATTTTTTGTAGAAATAAAAATTGGCCGTGAATTTTACTATTTAAACGGGTAAGAGAGTTGGTGGTTGTGATTTTCGTATCTTAACTCGGTTATAGGCAAATACACCGAGAACCGCTAGTGCCATCCCAAGAAGGTTTAAGGGCGGAGCTGGATTGCGCAGTAACAACAACGAGCCCAGTACGACCACAGCGCGCTTCGCGGCCGAAGCCACGCCGTACGTAAGCGGCGACACGTGCGAAAGTACAGTGAAAGCGGCTATGGCTTGTAACCACGCCAATACTCCGTCCGCGGCCACCAGGATGCTTAAACGAAGCCCGTCACCTGAACCTGAACCCCGCCACATCCAAACCGCTCTACCCTCTGCCACTAACCAAACGGGTAATAGCGGAATCAAGGCGAGGGCGCTCAACGTCTGCAGAAGGCGTAGATGGTGCACGGTTGTGTTTTGCAGCAGGCGCTTTGAGAGTAAGTGCTGCAGGCTGAGCAGAGCGGCAGCAGCAAGCGCCGCTGCGAGGCCGACAGCGTCGAAGTGCAGCTCGGTAGCAGAAGCGAGAACTACTCCGCTCGCTATCAACGCCAGGGCTCCACACACGCCCCGCGACACTCGCTCCTTGAATATGGCCCATGCCATGCCCGCCGTCCACAGTGGCGTCGTTGCCTTCACTACAAGTTTTAATATTCAAATAACTATGCTCATGATATTCAATAATTTATTTATTTTAGTTGGAAATGAAACAGTCACATAACATTAAAACACTTGAAACCTTAAAAAAGTAGATCTAAAGTTTCACTTATTCATACATACTTAACAAAAATACAACTAATCTATAAAACAATAAAAAAAATATCTTAGGAACAGGAACCAACAACAATAACACTAATTTGGAAACTGCGACTTAAATATTAAATTAGGTATACAAGTTTTGTATGTTACAATAGAAAAATTAACATAATTAAATTTTTATTCTACTTTTAGAATAAAAATTGAATATTCGCATTCCCATAGTGCGCCTTAACTTATTAAGGCTCTCTATGGGAATGTGAAACATCATTTAATGAGAGAGGAAGACTCTAAAACTGAAATTTTGCTCAAGAACTCTAGTGTTTAGCTACTTACCAGTGTGAGCGTAAGAAACGGGTACTTTCCATATAGAGAGCTGCGAGAAAACAGTCGTCAAAAACTTGGCAATGGCGAGCGGCAAAAGCGCTCGAAGGCGGGGAGCTCGGGAAGACGCGTAGATCTGGGGCACACCGAAGGCGGCAAGGGCTGGAGCGCTGAGAGTCGTCGTGGCCACTAACTGAACCAGCGTCATGGTCAGTGGGAACGGAAAGTCGTTCAGTGCCAGTTTACCCACCACATTGCTAGCCGAGCTGAGCGCGTACCACGCCGCACATAGTGCACTAACGATCAATGTTTCGCTGCGCACTCTCATCGTTAATTTGACACTTCGGCATCACCGCTAGCCGGACTGCAAATCACTTCTCATACAGCCTTCTGCAGTGGTACCGATTTCAAATACTCTTTCATTAATACGGGTTTCTTTCATTAATTTCATTAATCGGTTAACGCTCATAAGGGTCAGGAATATACGTTGCTTGCTCAATTCATATTAATTGAACATTGCATCGTTTATGTTCTAATATATACCAATATACGAATATTATGCTAACGGACTGTTTACTAATAATAAATTAAAAGCCCCAAGGTATCAAATGACACATGTGGCATAACTATTACGTGGCAGTGACATACTGAGAAAATCAAAAAAGTCCGTAAGTATACCGCATGACACACGTATATGATACGTATTGTCAGTATTCACAGATGCTGTTGATATTTGTTTAAAATATTAATATTTAATTCTGGTCCCTGCTCTCTTTTTTATGCTCACGATATATTATATACATGAAGAAAAACCACTTCTAGAATTAAGTCTTCTTGAGACTCGAGAGAAAAGAATAGACTTGAAGAATGTCACATTCCACGTCCACTTTTACAAGCTTCCTCTTATTACAATGACATAAGAAGAAAAAGTTCTTCTTTTTAAGTTGTAATTTGCGATTTTCCTCGGTAATTCACTTATGATTTTGTTAGGCCTGCAATTAAGAAGACGTTTTAAGTTTTATTTGTTTAAATTAAGGAGAAGAGAGATGTTAAACTTGTAAATATTTCTTACACAAATATACATACGTAAAACACGGCGATTAATATTATATACTTATTAAATTTTTAATCAAAATATTATACTTATTATAATATTTCAATTAAAAAGACACAAGTGTAAAATGATTAACTAATTCAAGTTGATACTGTAATGCGATGTAACGAAACAACAGTAATTTGAATATTTTTAATCTGTGGTCGGTGTCAACTGATGATCAAATGTGACTGTGACTGACACTTTAGTCATAAAAACAGTGGTTTCAACTTTGATACCTATGTGCTACATCTGTGCACTGATATTTCTAAACCAAGATTAGAGAAAGTTTTACAAGTTTCAGTTAATCAATTAATATATTAAAAACTTTATTACAAGCTTTTTTACCAGAAGCGTTCTTTAGGCCCTTAATTCGTAACTAATACCAAGAAAAAATAGTGAGTATGGAAGCGTATACAACTGTAATTTGAATCCAGTTTGAACGTAATCACGATATTGTTTATTATCTCGTGAAGATATAATTCACTGAATCCGCTGATTTCCGATACGGACTTTATGAAGCAGCTGTTATCAGTGAAGGGACAGGCGAAACGTAAGTAAATAATTGAGAATAATGTGGTGCTCACACAAAGTGGGGGTCTCCTTGACAACTTGCAGTTAGGTGTCGTTTTGAATCTATTAGGATAGAAACTGCTAAGAAACGAGTATACATTTTTTTACATATTTCATAATTGAGCTTAAACACAATATATGCACATTAAAAAAAACGAGCATAAACGCTCGGCATAAACAGAGATTTTTACTAAAAACTAACTATAATATAGGCAACATGAGGCTGCTAGAGACGTAGCGGCCTAATAACAAAAAACATGATTTTCAATACAGAGGAAAATATTAACTTCTGTTGTGCAATTAATTTGGTGAAAGTGAATTTTGACTATTTTTTGTGTAAGAATTATACTAAAATTTAAGTCAAGTTTTAAAATTGCATTTGCAGGGTACTCTGTCTCTAGCGGCCTCATATATGCTGTTACTAATTTTAGAAAGAGATATTATGGGCTGAAGATCTACTAGAATAATTATTTTATTATTTTTAATATAAGGGTACAGGAAGTAGCCCGATTAAAGCTTCCGCTTTTAAAACCTTAGATTTTGGCTTATGGATAAGAGGCAAACTTAAAATTTCCTCAAATAAACACACAAATCCTCATAAAGAGACTCATCTTAAGAAGCAATACTATTTTGACTCTACTTCATTAGCCATTAGCTATATTGCAGGTATCATTTTTGTTTATTTACCTAGTTAGTTCAGTTGTTTTCTTAGTTTTTACTTAATTTCTCCTACAATTCCAATGCAGCTTTGGTGCTTAATTACTAATAAAATTAATTAAGATTTTTTCAAATTTACAAATGCATGTGCAAAGCGTCGTAGGCTCAACGCACATGTTTATCTGATACCAATGACCTGAATTACCTGAATACCTGATTAAGTGCCTATAACAACCTACTTATGTGTTTTCATTAACATTTTAGGCGTCGAGAGGTAGCGTGTGGCAAACGGAGAAGAAGACGAAAGCGGTAATGCGGTGATGGCTTCGCGGCGCGTGACGCGCAAGTGGGAGGTGTTCGCGGGACGCAACCGATTTTGGTGCGACGGAAGACTCATGACGGCGCCGCACCCTGGCGTTTTCCTACTTACGCTTGCGCTTATTTGCGGCACTTGCGCGCTGCATTTCGCCTTCGACTGCCCATTTCTGGCAGCGCGCGTCTCGCCCGCCGTACCCGCGGCCGGCGCGGCGCTCGCTGCGACCACACTCGCGGCCTTGTTGCGCACCGCGCTCTCCGATCCCGGCATCATCCCCCGCGCGGCGCCGCACGAAGCGGCCGCTGCGCCCGAGGACGCGTCCGCCGGAAGTCCGACGACTCCGGGTGCCGCTCGGCCCCCGCCGAGAGCGCGAGAGGTGCTCGTGCGCGGTCGCCCCGTCAAGCTGAAGTATTGTTTCACGTGCAAAATGTTCCGGCCGCCGCGCGCCTCGCACTGTTCGCTTTGCGATAACTGCGTCGACCGCTTCGACCACCACTGCCCGTGGGTGGGAAACTGCGTGGGTAAGCGCAACTATCGCTACTTCTACCTGTTCGTCGTGTCACTGTCGTTTCTCGCAGTGTGGGTGTTTGCGTGCGCGGTGGCCCACCTGGCGCTGGAGGCGCGCGGGGCGGGCGGCGCGGGGCTCGGAGGAGCTTTGCGCGCATCGCCCGCGTCGGCCCTCGCGGCCGCCGTCTGCTTTCTTTCGGTGTGGTCCGTGCTCGGCCTGGCCGGCTTCCACACCTACTTGGCCTCCACCGACCAAACGACCAACGAAGACATCAAGGGCTCGTTCTCCTCTCGTCGCGGCGTGTCTAATCCTAACCCGTACTCGCGCGGTAACGCCTGCGCCAACTGCTGGCACGTGCTTTGCGGGCCTCTCGCGCCGAGTCTTATCGACAGACGCGGCGTCGTTCCGCCTGATGGCCACGAGTTGCCGCCCGCCTTCGTGGCGGTTCTCGCCGCCCCCGCCCCGGCTCCCTCGCCGCCCGAGCCCCGGGACGCCGTCCGAGCGTTGCACGCACCGGCGCCGCGCGCTAAAGGTGAGATTCTAACGCGCACGCTCAGAATGCGTCCAGTGTCGCAGTCGTTAATAAAATGTGTCCGTATCATTGCAGATTCGATGTCCGGCAGTTACACGAACCTATTCGAGGCGAGCGAGAGCGCGCGCCACGCGTACATGAATCGTTCCCTGGAGCTCGACCCGGTGCCTCTGAGCGAGGTGTGCGTGCAGGGCGCGTCCGAGAGCGGCGCGGCGGTGGCGGGGGGAGGGGCGTTAAGTGCATCTCGGCTGCGGCTGCTGCACGACACGACCATGATCGACGCTGCGCTCGACCTCGACGAGCCCGACCCCCCTTCGCACCTGGCCACCGCCCCCGCGCCACTACCGCACCTCGCGCTCGCCCTGTGACCGCGACCGCTGCGAGCGGCACACTCACATGTACATAGACGCAAAAGGATCCCAATAAACTATTTACGATTATTTAGGTTTTTTCTAGTTTATGACTGCCTTATCCTTGCAAGAGACTATAAAACTCAGTAGTGGCTAACAAACCTGAGAGTAATTATTACCATATTCCAGATATTGTGATTAAAAAACCAAGTAAGAAGTAGACTCAATTGCTGCCAGAATAGCTTTATAGTTGGTGGTATTTTAGTTTTAAAAAATTAAGAAGGGTGTAATAAATAGCGAATCCTTCTTCCTTCTATATATTGAAGAAATAACTATGTACAATAATTATTGTCTACAAAACCTAATCATCGAATCGGCCTAGAAGCAATTGGGATTGTAGAAAGGTTTACCTCTTATTATGATGGTCCCTTGTAAAAACCTTACAAATATTATTTTGTCCAGGACCAGGAGATTATACGTGATTAGTGTCTTTTATATATTGCATTACAAACTTAGAACATTCTTAACTTATAATAATAATAATGTCGCAGTCATTTCATTCGCTTCATAAGTGTCGACTATGATGCGAATAAATTTATTAGCGTTTTTTGGCTCGTTGGTATAATGTTAGCAATGTATGACTTATAATCGACGGGTTGCGGGTTCGATCCCCACGCGCTCTAACTTTTTTCTAATCAATTTATAATTTTTGCGGAACATCTAAATTCCGTCCCCATCACAAACGCTGTGATAACGAACAAAAAGCTGTGAAGCTTGATAACGTCTCGTTTCAGTGTTCCACCTTCCATCAAGCGAACCCCTCTGTGGGTAAATATAAAAAAGAAACACTAGAGCAAAGAAAACAATATTGTATTATAATAATGAGAAACCCATAAAAAACGTTTTTTATTTAATACCATTTAGTGAATCATTCGGGACTAAGATGGTACGGTATGGATGGTGGGATTAAAATCACAGTAGGTATATATAATTATAGATGAAAATATTTCATAAGTGCAGAGTATATGGCCTACCTTTTTTGAGAATCGCTTTTCAATTTAATCTGTAGTTACTATTTAAATAAAACACTTTAACGGTTTAAAACGCGACATATTAGTTAAACTTATTTGAAAATGAATATATCGCGTTTTTAAACCGTTAAAGTGTTTTATTTAAATGTGTACTACTCGCGTAAACGTACAGTCTATAGACTGTAGTTACTAGTTTGTATCTACTACAGTAACCATGGTGACGCGAGATATAGAAACAAAAACGTTAATATTTATCCTTGAGAAAACTATTTAACATTAAATAAGCTGATACGTAAATAGTGTAAAAACATGAATACTCGATAGGAAACAGAATGTCAGTGTTGAGTTTATTACCGGAAGATAAACGTAAGGACCAGAGGTAATAGCATTTTATAATTTAAGTGGTATTTGTATACCACTAAATAAATGTACGTTTTGCATTTTAAAATGAATTGCAGAAATTCGTTGGAGAGCGTGTACAGCAGCAACTCGCGGTTAAATTTGCTCCACAAGCGAAAACGCATGAGCCCACTGCGCCTGGCCCTCGGCATGTCGTCTCAAACCCAACAGCGCGGAGATCGCTCTGTGACGCAGCGTGTCCTCTCGGCCAAGACGCACCGCATCAAGCAGTTGCAGAACCAGTTGGCTGACGCGCACTATCATCTGCAGGTCGACACCTCTACATCGATCGCGCTTGTCGTCTTTGAGATGTTACAGAAATATAATATGCTTTCAGGAACTCAGCAACGAAAATAAAATTCTTCGAGCTCTACAAAAGAAGCAAGAGACCGCTCTGCAAAGGTAAGTAATCAACGAAATACAAATGGCTTTTTCGTCGTTTACAAAATCATATATATGTCCAGATACGAGAGCTCGAGCGCCGAGCTGCCCCAGGTTCTAGCGGCCCACAGCGAGGAGACGCGCGTGCAGCAGATCAAATATAGGCAGGCGCGCCAGCAGTTGCGGGATCTGGAGGCGCGTCTTCGGGAACGCGAGCAACAGCTTCAGGCGTTGCGGGACGAACATCGACATCTACTCCAACTCACTCGTGACAAGTGAGCCTCCCGTCCATACCATTAAATTACGCTACGTTAAGAACAGTGGGCACTAGAATCATGGGCTTTTTTTGTCACCAAGGAATCTTCTCGAGCGCGAAAAACTTCAAGTCCGAGTGAGCGAACTTAACGAAACGGTCCGGCAGCAACAGGAAACTATAAGCGCGCTTCAGCGTCGCATCGCCCTCGAGGCGAAGAATTTTAAACATCGGCTGCAAGTGGAGGTGAACAAGCACAAGGACACGCGCCACGACCTCGATTTGGCTATCAGCAACGCCGATAAACTCTCGACCATCATCGAGGTAGTTTCGCCGACTGACGGGCCCAAACTCGTTTACAGGATTTAGAACTAAAAGAACCTCTTCTTACAGATGAAAGAAAAAATGATCAGCACCGCAGCCAGTCGCACCGGCGGGAGCAGGTCTCCGTCGAAAACGGCGACAGGGTCCAGGTCCCAGAGCAGGACAGCAGGGTTTGACGACGCGTCTAAGTCCAGCGCCATGTCGCAGCGGTGCACTTATACCGCCGTTAACGAACGCCCCACCGCGGCCGGCGCTCGCGTCGCCGATCCGAGCGAACTTGCCAGAGCCGTACGAGACGGGATAGCCGATTTAACGATTGACGACGACCGATTGACGGAATGCGCGACGCCCGAGGACACCCGGATCAGAATGCGGGCGATGAAGATGGATTTAATGACGAAAATCATAAACAACGAGGAGTCGACATCTAGGAGAGCGAGCGCCCTCCGAGGGCGATCTTCTGAGGAGTCCACCGAGGAGGAGCTTACCCGGGGACCGACTCGGCCCGTCTCGAGAGGCCGTAGGAGCTCAGCCGTCTGCTTCTCCGAGGCGGATGAGGACGCGCCGGGCTCGACAGATCTCGCGGCCGGGGATGACGTCGATCGGGCTAGCGCTAGGAAGCTCTCAGGAAAACAGGAAAAATATTGCAAGAACATACTAGAGGACATCGAGAAGAGTTCGCGCGTGATCGACGTACACGTGCGCCAGTTGTCGGCCGTGCAGAGCGCGGGAGACCGGATCGCGGAGCAGCTGCGAGCGGTGGACCGCGTCAACGAGTTGGTGAACGCTAAAGGCGATGTTCCTGAACCGGCGCTCACGCGATTGCAGGAGCGGTTCCAATCGCTTTCGGAGCACGTCGTCGCCAGAGGCCCGTCCGGACGCAGAGCCAAGGTCTCCACGCTTCTAGACGACGAAGCGCTCACCAACCGAGACCTGCTGGACGACCTTCTCGGAAAGAAATGACCCGGACGGATTCGAGTGACTTTCCGCCGAGCTGAATTTAAAATATCCAACTTGATTCACGGGTCCAAGCTAACGTTTTACTCGTATAGTTTTTATGACGTATTGTGTAGACTAGAACATTGTAATATTTCTAATAGTTATATTTTGCGACTAGTTTATTTCTTGGGTGCATAATAAAAATAAAACTTATATTTTCTTATAATGAAAATAAAGCATTTCTATTATATATTTTTTTCTACTCGTCTCGTTGGAAAGAAGACATTTTACGATATTCACATGTCTGATAATGAAGACGAAGCTCAGTTCGCACTCTTTAACGTTTCACTATTTGAACGTTGCTCACGAAACAAAGAGACATCGGCAAGACATGAGAATTGACGAGCGCTCGAGCTACGTATTAATGCTCTGTGACCGTTAAACCAATTCAATTGAGTAGTTTGAGAATATTGAGTTTTTGAAATGAATTTCAAAACAATAAAGTTACGAAGACAAAGTTATTTAAATCCTCAATTTATTATATTATTATTGAAAATGGATCGCGCTACGTCGGTTCGGCGCGCAAATTTTATTCGATTATCTTTGTTAACAACAATATTGTTATTTCCTACCTTACGAGGAGTTAAATGAAAACTGACATCTTTTATGAAATGTTGAATGGTTAGTAAACCTTATACCCGCAGCTATCTGCGAATATGACGCAGGTGATACGTAGGGAGAATACATCTCGTTATTGAATAGTAAATGAGCAGATTCGTTCGTGAAACCGAGCTCATTCCGTCGGCTTATTCATTAGCCCCTTCAGGCACTTTAATGAATCATACTGTTTTTACAAAAACAAGTAACGCTAATGTTAGCCCAGTCACTTCAACGTCTGTAGGAAAGTCAGACACGAGCTGTTAAATTGTAACTTGACAATTTTTTATACTTGTTACGTTATCAATAATAATAATTTATAATAATAAAATTCTTATTGTGTCGGGTGGGTCTTTTATAAAATACCTCCTAGTTGAGTCAGTGACTACGTCCGTATTTTTGAAAACCTCCTCTTCGGATATATTAATTTAGGCCGTTACCTACGACTCGGTCGCGTCTTGTCGTTCTTACAAGTTAATCTTAACAGACAGAAGTACTCGTATAGTGTCGCGATATATGTTTTAGATCATTTACAGAGGAATCTTTCGTATGAAAGACATAAGATATTATGTATGATTTTTGGGTATCTAAAACCGTTTTCGCGGCGTGTGCATCGGAAACCCACAAAGATGAATGATTTCCCCGTTTTTTCAAATATAGGCAAAAAATGGTTCTCCACTGAATGATTCACTCGCAAGAACGATGGACCTCGTGGGTAACAAATTTATTAAGATGAGAAGTTTTATTAAGTCGCAGGCTGGTGTTATATTGTTGAGAGTCTCCGTAGCGTTGGAGGCTACAATCTGCTACGAACGTAGCCGCTCTACGGACGACGGCGCTGCGGCTGAACAGTTAGTTACAAATAAATAAGTAAGTATATAATATCACTGTAAAGTATAAAATAAAGTTGCTTTTTCCGCCTCTATGTGCGCTCAACTTTTAAACTACGCAACGGATTTTGATGCGTGTTTTTTAATAGGTAGAGTGATTCAAGAGGAAGGTTTTTATATTCGTACACAACAACGTTCACAGTTTTTTGGTACTGTATTTAGTATCGGCATTGTACTCGAGCGAAGGCAGGGCGGGTCGCTAGTCAATAACAAATATGTAGATACTACTACGTTGCTGCCACTACGAGCTGTTTTTGTTGATGTCAAGATTGTGTAAATAATAATATGTAGATGTGAACTACATGCCGGAGAACTACAACAAATGAAGTTGTACATAAACACTGTTCTGAGTACCTTTTATGAAAGTTAAGTAGTATATTTTTATTGTTTTCGACTTTCGCTTTGCTGTTCTATTTAAATCTAGTACTTTACCTAACGCAAACGGCGTATGAGGAAGGGTGTAGACGCGTAGGCGGCTCATTTTGTCGAGTAAATATGATCAGCCTAATTTGTTTATTAAGACGAGATCGCATACGATTCAATATTACGCGTCTCTATGTGTCGATCACGAATCTTATGATAGGTCAACTTAATCGATACATTGGTCCTACAACATCGATAACTAGACTTTAAGCTTACACGGTAATCGATGGAATGTCTGAAATAAGTTCGCTCCACATGCCCCATACCGAGAGCCACTCGGAGTAAGGGAATCCGTGAGTTGGGAACTATTTTGGATCAGTCGAGTGAGGTGCCCTCGACGGGCGTGTCGCGTCTCGAGTGGCGGCTGCGTTAACGCGATCGCGTCGCCGAAGTTTCCAAACATCGTAAACGACAGCTCGAATGGTATTCTCAACTTGTATACGTGTACTAAAAAACGATTCGATCACCGTATCACAGATTTTGTTTTCATTTCACCTTTACCGCTCTCAAATGCTATGTAGAGACCGTATATATACTTAAGGGATTTTCTCGCCGTTGTCCTGACATTAAAGTAAATGCTACATAGAACTGTTCGGGTAAAATTGTAAATACCTATGCAGGTAGGTACTCGTTGCTTCTATCAGTTAAGAACATCAAAAGTTGTAAACATCTGAAACCTTAAAAACAATGGACCTTTAATATAATAATTATGATTAGATCGCTTTGTTTAAAGATCGGGATTGATAATTAAAATGTGTTAAACTAGACTTCATTTTGTATTTGCTTCGGGGTTTCGTTCAATTTTTCAACAACACGTTATAAAGTCTAAGGCCTCTCCTATTTTTACTGGTGCGTTTCGGTTGACGCCTTTCCCAATTTTTTCGTATTCCATTTGGTGTATATTCGATTTACAAAGCTAAATAAATATTCGATACCAATTCGGCTCTAATCTCAACAGAGCAGTTAACATTACATGGATATTATCGTAAAACTTCGTGAATGTGCCCACGCTCGGATATTTCACTCCAATCTTCGAATGTTAAAGCTCGTAATCGTCGTTTGATGTGAATTAGCGCAAAAACGATTTTATTTGTATATACTTAATATTGAGATTTTTTAAGTAGAGTTTCTTAAAATGTACACCGTTATACCGTTTGACGACGTTTTGGATCTGCGGTGTATTCTTTAAATACTCATTCACTCCTCCTTAGTTTTTGTCGATACAATTATAATTTGTGGTGACGATCTCTTAAAACGTAATTTGAATTTAAGACAAAAACAAAGTGGATTTACTAGTGTATAACGAGAGACCTGAAAGTGGATGTGAAAAGAAATGTACGGTGTGAACGGTTCCCAACCGCCAATGGACGGCGGCCTATTGGACGTGTTCTCCCGCCCTGATCCCTCGTTGATCACTCTCTATGCCTTCGTGCTGGTCGCGTCCCTCGCAGCCAACACGCTGCTCATCTTCATCGTCATCAAGTTCCAGTATATGCGGAGGTGAGTGAAGTTTTTTCTTTTTCGACAATTGTCCAATTGTCCGTACTCTTTTTGGGCAAGGTAATTTCTTAATGCGAACGAATTGAGCTTCAATAGACCGCGCTTTAAAGTTGGAATATGAAATGACAGTTTTAATACAATAAACCATTCTCACACACTTTTAAGTAAATGCATATGCGCTTTCCTCATTACTAGAGAGACGCCCTAATCACCTAGTGCAATACTCTACCCCAGTTAGTATAGTACTACCTCAGAGACGCGAGACATGTTAAAACATGTGCGTCTACGCTTCTTTTTTAAGTTAAGGTAGGCGAGAACCAAGGTCAGTCCGCGTTCCGACGTGATACTTAAAACGTCGCGGTTGCGGTTTTAAAAATGAAAAGTGAAATGTATTAATTAATTAATGGAAAAGTGAAAAAACAGTCATAACATGAAGTTTAACCGTCGCGAGGTTAACCTCAAATTTCCTTGTTCCCGCTCTTATAGGTATACGGTATACCTAGCTCAAAATATTCTCTAAAAACGAGATTAAGAAATAAATTATAACCGTCAAACGCTCAAAAGACGATCGGGCAATCAGTGGATAAAAGTGAAGTGTTTCCTGCTTTTTACCGGCTTTATAGGAAAGTTAATTTTCCAGGGTGAGTAAGTTTTGATGTCAGAGGTCATGTGTTGACCCCGGACAGTTAATGTCTTTTGTCCACCCCCGTATGATATTAAATTAACATAGAAATAGTGTTTGTGCGATTTTGGTCCATGGATATAAATGTCGTAGCGATTCCATTAAACTTGTCTAAATAACTCCTACAGTTTTCGGGTCTCGGCACTTGAAATATAGATATTTAACGAGGAGGTATGCGACCTTTCTCTCTCTAGACGTTGTTATAATATGGCAGGCGTTTTCAGCGAGAAAAGCCGAAGTTGCACCTTAAAGATGAAACGCGCATCCGTTGCTCGTAAACTCGTAAGATAATTTATATTTTCTAATAATGCAGACTTAATACGGTCCACTTGGGGCAACTTATTAATGTATTAAAAAAGAAGCCCAAAAAAAAACATATTATTTGTTTTAGCAATAAATATGTTAATTTACTTTGGTCGTTGGTATAGTATAGGTAATCCTGTCCTAAGCTACATTCGCCGCTAACAGTGTCAACCGTCGAATGCTCGAACACGAGTCGGAGCAAGTCGAAGTACTGATTAAGGATAGCCCAACGCACTTTTTAGCGTCCCGGTTAACTAATAAAAGTGTGATGACGAGGGATTAAACCCTCCGGCGAAAACAAACCAAGCTCTGTTTTTAACGAACTTTCGTTTCCGGACAGCTGCCTTTAATTAATTGCCTCGTTCGTCCCAAATGGATTTAACCACGTAATCAGTTTGATGCTATGTTTGGATATTTGTTTACATTATACGTCTCGCTCAGAAAATAGCTGAACTAATAGGGGAATTTAATTTAATTTAAATTAATAATGAGTTATTATTTAAAAAGTTATTGCGCGTAAAGGCTGCGACGAGGAACCACCGCTTGGCTTCTCTCATGGTTCTCGGTCGGTGTCTTTTAGGAATCGATGTCTAATTTTCGTATCTCGTAGGTAGTTAGGCATCAGTGAAATTCGAAATAAAAAGCATAATTTATAGCCATTTACATTTAGTTTGCAATTGGGGCCGCTTCTAAACGTCTTAGAGAAAAAGAAGTAATTAAAGATTCAGTTCGGATAAAATAAGTCTGGAGCGACGCAAACAACGGCGACAATTCCCTTCTTTTGAGTCGTGTTTTGAATGCCCACTTATTCACCATCTTGTTAGACTTAATTTAACTTAAAGGTAACGGTTTTAATTTATTTGACGAGGATTGGATCTTAATTTAGTCGTATTTTAGATATAACGTGATATTATTGTAAAATAATTGTTATCGAGCTCAGGTTTTGGACTTATTTTTCATTGAATCCGGATTTCGTATCCGCTACCCTCGTCAACCTTCTTTGTGCTCCCGGCTCAAAGGCACTATCCGGGAAATTGGATCAACACAGCGTATCCGTATGTTTCGTGCTAGCGACATCATACCGATGTAACATTTGGATTTTGACATTGCCAGTTTAGAGCTACGGCTTCGTATCTTATTTTATTTACGGGCAACTTGTCTACGATCAAATAGAATACTAATGAAATAAAACTACCTTGGATCGTTACGAACCAAAACCGCACGTCGTAACTTTGTATCTTTGTATGACGGCGAAAGTCGTTGGCCGTGCTAAATGAGGCGAGTATGTACAAACAAAAAATTGCTAACTATTAGTGCGTTTTATGCATCTTAAATTAAAATTCAGCTGTTGTTGACGACAGACATTTTTTACGATAAGTTCCTCCGTACAAAGTAGGTATGTGGTTATCGGTTATTCCTCTTCACTGATTTAAGACAACAATTTACGATCCGGGAGGGAAAGAGTTTCAATCGATGATCGAACACAAAACGAAAGATGTGTGTCTTTATAGGCCACGTGAAACGTAACTGTTTTGTTTCTGAAGAATAGTCCATTCCCCTCTAGTGGTGCGTTTAGTTGTTCTGGTCTCCGAGGTTGTAGGTATGCATTAGGTATTCACACCGTCAGTCTGTCAGCAAAAAAGTATAGTCTATTCAAAACGATACTAATAGACGACTAATCGTTACGTATATTCACAATCAAAACAGAGGAGGGCTGGGTGCTTGCGCTCGGCTCGCGACGACGTACGACTATTAGCCACTGGACTCTGGAGTGACTCTGATCGGCCCCAGAAATTATACAGGTAAAGGATTAAGGGTTTATGATCAGTGTTGATTTAAATAGTTAAGGTTGTAAAAAGTATTTTGGACTAGGTGATGAGATTACAATTCCTTGCATAATATAATAAATCTCCTTTTCCTATGAGACCACACGAACGCGCAACCCTATTCGCTACATCTATCGCAAGACTCTATTGTAAATTCGAGAATTATAATATATAAAAGTATATACTGTCTGTAAAGTAACGTTAAAGATAGTTTTCAAATAAGTTTTATTAATACATATCGCGTTTTAAACCGTTAAAGTGTTTTATTTAAATTATATAAGTACTTCAAATTACGACCTCTCAAAAGCGTCGATATTTTCCTGTGTTGTCACGGGAACTTATTACGATATATAATGATAGAATGAGATAGTTTAAAGAAGACAAAATAATATAATCGCAAATAAAGCTTACGTCAATTTGACCGGCGACGTTTTAACCCACCAAAAAAATTCCAAAAAACGCATTTCTTAAATTTTGAGACTTAGTTGCATGGATGTCTAAAAGCAAGAATTTTAGACATCCAACTTTTCATTGAAAATGCCGCGCGTTCAGTTTCGTGACCTAACAGTGCCGTCGTGGACAGACATAACCTCTACCATATTGAGCTATAGTTGCTAATTATTTTTCTCCTTCTCAAAATAGAATATTTATATTTGCTTTGAATAAATATGGCACACTTATATTTTGCTTAAATCTGAATTCGCAATGAACCAACGAAGAATATGTAAAACGTAAACGTCTATTAAACGCCAGAACTAAACATTGAGTTATTTCTTATTGAACCGAGTAAGCGTACCCTCGGGCGTCTCCTTCGACCGAATAATATCTCGGATCGTCCGAGCCGAGCGGGGCTAAGGACATTCTAGACTGACTGCTGCTAAATAACAACCGGGGAACATTTTCACCGGTTTTAACCCCTAGAGATAAAGATAACTTCAATTTGAAAGATACGTAGAGATGAAATGAGTCATTCCTTACATAGTCGATTAGTATGTAGAATGATAAAGGAAGCCCATAAAAGAAAAGTTGTCCTTTCGTTTGTGGAGTTTTTGAGAAAGTTAGGCAATGTAATGAGTGCGGGGCTACCACGGCCTCGACAACTCACAAAGTTTTTGTTTGTCCGCAAATTGCCAGATTAGACGCGAGGACTGGCCGTTGCGATTGTTGCGACATACAAACTTTCAAAATGCCTAATTTGCACCTTCCCTTGATACGTTTTCTAGTCTCGTTGACATACAAACTTGGAATTAAAACTTTACTATTTTGATACGCGGGCGATAGTCGTGAGGATTTTTTGCCATTCGTTCTTCTACATTAACCTAAATTAATCAATAAAGCTTTACTTCAAAAATGTGTAATAACGAATGGATAGGGTTTTTATAGTAAAATAAAGCAGGAGATCAGACCCCGCGCGGTACGTAGGTAATATTCTGAGTAATTTCGTTGGCGGTCGTTAAACGAATCGCGGCGAATTAAATAAGTAACGAAGAGTAACGACTTAGGCGGTGCATGGAATTAGCCTGAATGTAACGACTACTCATAAAAATCTCGTAAATATTTAGCATTAGCTAATGAACACGTCGCAGACACGCGAACCAGGTGATCTACTCGTTATGGCATTCTCATTATTATATCGTTACCATTTCGAGCTGCTTTTGGACTTAAATAATATTGATGTTTTTAAGTGTTCCTAGTTATCTACATCAATCGAGTTGTCGTCACCACCGGTGGTAACAAAAACTGTTTTACTTATGAAAAATAAACTACTATACCTAACCTTAAATTCGGCACGGCTCGAATTTGGAACATTAATTTTGATTAATATCTTGGACGCGTGAAGGAAGTTTTCTTTGTCTAGTCATGTTAGAGTAATTATTATTGCGCCACAACTCAAAGAAGAAGGCAACTTAGAATGTCCCTTACATCTCTTATTAAATGCCTTTAATCTCTAATAAGCCTCGGCTAGGGTCCTCGAGACTAAGAGAGAACGAGTGTGTGAAACCACTTCATCGCTCAAACACATTAACAGCTAATTGTATTTCGTTCGGAGTTGATTTATGGAGTCTTCTCTCTTCATCCCACTTCGCCCGCTCCATCACGGACCGAGGGTTAACGGAGGGCGAGGAGATTCCCGTAAGACGGTGAGGATGACGTATCATAGCATTAGGTTAAAGGTATTCGTATTTAATTGAATGAAAAGGTAAAACTCGTGTAATGCTTATCGTTGAATCGGTGAACTAAAAACAAATCATAGACTCAATATTGAGAAGCGAAGTGAATTACTTGCGATCTTGACGGGTGTTGAGAGTTGTTCGTTTATTTTTTCCAATTAGACTAAATTGAGTAAGTTTCCCATTTTTCTAGAAAAGGTTCTATCGGTAAGAAGTTAATTAATTCTTCCCACTATTATCGTTATACGTCATATAAAAATACCGTTAAACTCCGGTCAGTGAGCTGAATAATGGAATGTGCAACTGCAGCTGGAATTGGTGCATGTCTAAGATTGATTCTAATCACTTCGTGCAGAAATTGTAACGTTAACATATTTATATATACATTTTTGTACATTGACGAATGCAGTACTTACTTCGGCTAGACTGAGAGTGAACGCGGCCATCGCGTGGCAGATCCGAAAATATGACGCACATTACACTTTTATGTAGCCGTTAATTTTATGTGAGAATAAAACGTCTAACTGGCCGTTATTTTATTAATATCACCATCTGCGAGAGTCGAGCCTCGTATTTTAATTGTTTCAAAATTAAAATGCGAGACGTTCGCGTTAGACATATTCAAAAGTGTCATGGTTGTAGAGTGAGAGTGTGGAATTTAAAATATACTTAGAATTTGGATTCAGCAGTAATATATGATATATGAATGTAGAATATATGATAAACAGTAAGCGCGTTCAAAATCCATTACAAAGAGTAGATCGCAAACGCGAATGAGCGCTGAATAATTCGAGCCCTCTCTGTGTTTATAACATCGAGCACTCGGCTCTGTCTCCATATTCAAATGGGAAACGGCGGAGAGCATTTGGACCGCACTGTTCAGCTCCGAGTGCTGTCAAAGATGAGACGCGGTTTCAACAATACGGGCTTTCATTTTATTAAAATAAGATGAACCTCAAAGAGGAAGGCTGCGCAAAGCGATAATACTATTATGCAGCTTTTGTAACTGTATTGGTGTCGCACCGGCCTTGGCTAATCTTAGGCTAATCTTGCTAAAGCTAATATTGCATCCTCCCGCTAGCAACAGCTTTTACGAGCCTTCGTTAGATAAAATATTTACATACAAAAGTGATTCTTAAAGAATTCTTAATTGAGAACCTTCGAAGTCAATTAACGTCCAATGGTTTTATGGTGAGATCGAGGGATCTCCACCCCGTAGCGACGGTAGGGGGAGAGGGGAAAGGACAAGTGATAAATGATGAAATAGATTAACGAGCGAGGGAAGGGACATCTCGTCTTAGTCGTTATCTGATACTTCTATCGTTCACTTTCACGCCTAATTGTTTTATTCACCGCCCTTCGAAACCTAGACCCCTCACAGTCAAGAATTACTAATAAATATATAGAAATATTAGCCGTCATCGGGAATCAGTAAACTGAATACAATAATAATTCAATTACAGGTGTTACTAGCAGTTGCAGCTAAAATCCCTTCTCTCTTAACGTAACTCTTCGGGCGTCTACGCAATAATGGCGAATGCAACATCGCGTATTGATAAATATTGAGGCGTGTAAACAAATAAGCGATGATTTATTTATATTATAACGTAAACACTGCGAACGGCAAAATGGTGCATCGTTTAATATGGACGTCAGCCTTCATGTGGGTTAGCAAAACACTCGTTCCGACGTTCCGTTCGTTTCGGACGATGTGGCCGGAGACACGAGGGCATGAGGTCAGTAGCCGTGTATCGTAGTACCGTTCAAAATGTAATGAAAGTGCACAACTCTATGATATCGCGGTAAAGTGGGGTTTTCAATTTGTATGCGACTGCAGAGTTTCGCGACATGTTCGTATGTGTTCGTGCACTAACGTACCCTTTGACTTGGGTTTACGGCCACATTAAATGGAGGTAAACGAAAGCTCGTTCAAGTACTCGCCGTAAAACACTCGTTACAGTGCAACGTGTGCGGGGCTCTCAGGTTAAATCCTACTAATACTCGGTATAATTATCTCTCGTGGCTTAATGGGCGAAGTTATGTCAGTCGGACGATTGTAATGATTAGTAGGAATTTCGCATTATCATAAGATACCTTTTTTAATGGTTTGGAAAAAGTATA